ATGTTTTTTAACATTTTCGAATACAATCCAGATAAACTTGTTAAATTATTTGATATTTTTCAAGCTCATTAAGATCAGTGAAGAAAGAGAGAGAGAGAGAGAGAGAGAGAGAGAGAGAGAGAGAGAGAGAGAGAGAGAGAGTTGATCTATAAATTTGTAAACAATTTAAAAAAATAAGCTAATTTTCTTCTCAAACAACTTCTTCTTTCTCGTTAGCCTCATCTCAGAAAACTGAAACCAAATCCCGATTTTTCTCCAACCATCGTCCGTTTATCATATATCGCTGAAAATGATAAACGAAAAAGAAGAAGAAAAAAAAGAAAGAATAAAACAAACCGGAGGCCAGTAAAGAAGAAGCCTCGTCTCCCTCGTTTAACCAGATAAGCCACAAAACGCCGAAGCAATTTGAGCCCGTCAGAGGATTCCTCCTCCTCCTCCTCCTCCTCCTCCTCCTCCTCCTCGTCGAAGGGGAACCGGGGGTTCTCGTCAGGGAGGGTAGCTCGTAGAAAACGCTCGTTCCACGGCCTCCAAGGGTTAAATAGGGTTGTCCTTCGCCTGACGCGGGAGGATGAATATTCACTCTCTCTCTCTCTCTCTCTCTCCCTTCCCCTCTCGGCTCCGCTTTAACGTCGATGAGTACGCAAAACCGACAAGTCGTTTCTTTAACGCACGCGAAAGAACGATGGATGGACGAGGAGGAGAAAGGGAGGGAAAGAGAGAAAGAGAGAAAGAGAGAGTTAGATAGAAAGACAGGCTACGAGAATCAGGCAGAAATACTTCATTACGATGAAAGCTTTGCTCCTACCTTCTCAAGTCTCCTCACCCTCAATCCCTTCCCCCCTTCTCTCTCTCCATCTTCATGTGTTTCTTCACAATCTCCACGTTTTCGTGTGCATGTAGGTACACATCCACAATCCTCTTCCTCTTTGTCGACTTTTCTTCCCGCCTTCTATCCGACTTCGTGCACACGCGAAAATGCGTTTCTCGCATTGCGAGGATCCGTGGTGTGTGTTCGTGTGACGTTTTCTTTTTCTTTTTTCCTTTTTTTTTTTTTTTTTTTTTTTACGGAACGACAATGCGCAGAGTGGATGTATTTTGGAGAGGATAGACAGAGGAAGGACACGGAGGGGAATTACGACGATCGATGACGAGTTTCCACCCCATCCATTCGAATTTGTATGATGTTATTAAGAAATCATTTTACTTATGAATCTCTTGTTTTCTTCTTCCTCCTATACTCGTAATTCGAAACTTTCTCCCTTGTATCCCCTCATCTTCGATTCCTCGAGGAGAAATGGGAAGAGATCTTAAAACGATCCAACCTTAATTTCCTTCCATACTCTCTTTCTCTCTCTCGGAAAACGCTCTAGGAAATCTCCCATCTAATCGATTCTCATTCAATTAACATCCACCCTAACTCGTCTCCCGAGGAGGAAATACGGAGAACCCCTTTTTCAAGCTGCTCGAACCGAAGCCGCCCGATCGAGGAAAGGAGAAGGACAGAATCGTCCGGAGAGGAAAGTTTTCTCTCTCGAGGGGGAGGGGGTTGCAGGAACGTCCAATAACCGGATTAGCTTCTCCCAATGGAATCGCGCGGCCGATACGGGGCTGCTGCTCTCAATCTCGCTTCCGCCGTAATTTTCGCTCGTTTCGAGGAACGTGTCCGGTCGAACGGGTGGAAGATAAACACGGGCGGACACGCTCGTCTGTTAATCGACGTCGTAAAAGCGACGTTGCCTGTCGATGACGTTTCACGCGAATCGTCCCTGGGCGCGATCACGCGAGGGCGCAATTGCGAAGTAAATCTCGCGTTGCCGCGAGAAAACGCGACAGCTCGTTCGTTCTCGTGTCTCGCGTCTGTTCCTGAGGAGAGGACGAAATGGAAATGGAGGAGGTCGATCGAGGGAAGCTCGTTTGCTTGGAATATCGGTAATTTCGTGGCGTGGAGGAGGAGACAATTTAATTTTTTTGGATCAAGTTGAGAATCAAATTAAAATTGGGGAGGTTTGACACGATTTAATTCTCGAGTTTTGAAACTCTTTTGTTTTTGCGGAAGAGATTGTCCGGGATACACAGTTGAGTAATATTTATGCAGTATATATTTTATTATTATCCAGGGAATAGGATAGTTGCATAATGCAACAGAATTATTACATCCACTATGATAAATATTATAAAGAAACGGATTGTAAAATATCGAACAAATATCATGGCAATCGCATAAATTCGCCGTATCGTCATATCTCTAAATTCATATTTGGATTTCTTACGCAATTTCCATTCCGCTCGATCTTCGGCGTTCACGTATCACTATTCTCGACAATTTACATCGAGAAAAAGTTGTCTCCGCAATCCTTGAGAAAGATCTTTCTCGAGGAAAATTTAAATCACTTCTCCGCCATAGTTCCCTTACGCTCCACGTAGGTCGTGTTCGTAGCAAGGATCGCGATAAGACTCTTATTTTACTATCCATAAGAAAATCCACGATACACTCTCCAACGTGATAAAATCCCTCCGTCGTATCTTTCTCGATGAGAAAATCGCTTTTTCCCTCGCCCTCCAATCCAAATTCCCATTTAGAGAATCTATTCCGAGGCGTTGGACGAACGCGCGTTTGCTCAGGCTTTGCAAACACCATCAACTTTTAGTTGGTTAACTGTTCAGTTGGTTCGAGAATGAAGCGAAAGAGAGGGAGAGGGAGAGGGAGAGGGAGAGAGAGAGAGAGAGAGAGTGAGTGTGTGCGCGCGTGAAACCGCGCATGCATTCAACTAGTTAGTTGGGCAACTAAAAAGTTTGCACTACGTTGCAAGCCAACTAAACGGTCGGTCAACTGCGGCGCAGCTTTCGCGTTTCCAACGCGCTTATGCGGCCGAGCAAATAACTGACCACTTCGCGCGCCTACCCCTTGTGTCCCTTACTTTTTTCCCACATCGATTTATCCCATTGAAGCGTCGATTGAAGATCATTCGTTATTGACGATAAAAAAAATTGAAGAGAATAGAAATCGTTGGGAAAATTATATACGAGTTTTTAATTTTCCAGATGTATTCAATCGTATATAACACGAATCTGATTAATTCATATTATACACAACTTTTATGTGATTCATTTTACGCGATCGTTACGAAAGATTCCGAATCACTCGACTTTCTTTACTTTCAAAATCCGATCAACCTTTCCAAAAAAAACTTCTGACGATCTTCGGGAAAGCCAGTTCGCGGTATTTTACCGCGAGGAACCTTCGAAGAGAAGAAGACGAGAATGGATGGGATTCACACGCGAAATTCCAACGAGCCTCGAGTGATCGCGCTTTCCCGCGGAAATATCATCGGTTCCTCGACGGTTCCTTTGTCGACGATTCTGCGCCACGTACCGATACCACGGTGCAAAGAAGACGAAAGAAAGAAAGAAGAAGAAGAAGAAGAAGAAGAAGACTGAATGCCGACCGAAAAGAGGACAACAAGCAGTTGTTGGAAGGAGAGGCGCGCAGGGTCGAGGCGCGGTTGTTGGTAGGGGGTTGTTGGTAGCGGGATGAAATTTGCAAATGCTCCGACAGGCCGGAGCTTAGGCGAGAGGGTGGGGAGGGTTGTGTATCAGGCAGAAATGCGCGCGGTGGCAGGGATATGGCGGTAAAAGAGCGACGAAAAAGTGTCGCTTCGACAAAGGGTGCAAGCTGGAGAGGGGAGGGGGCGGAGGGGTGGCGAGGGTGGCTCGCGGGCGAAGCGAGAAACATGGAGGAAAGAGGGAGGGAGGGTTGGAAAGAGGAGGGGAGGTGGAGTATCCGGAGGCAGAGGGAGGTGGTTCGAGCGTGCGCGCATCATTTTTGCCGAGGAGAAGGCACTTCCCTTATTCGTCGTCGCCGAGGGAACCGAAGTGAGGATCCGGGGTGGGTAGAAGATCCGAGCGGGCGAGCAAGAAAATGACGGGTAAAGAAGCTTCGAGGGGTGGCTGCGGGTACGGGCTTCTTTGTCGATTCCCGGGTATTTAACGGAAATACCAACCGGAATACCTTCGTCCCCGCTCGTCGTCGTCGTCGTTCTCGTCTTTATCTCTTTTTCTTTTTCCCTCCGCCGGGTACACACCCCCGCCTCGCGTCCCCCACTTTCCCCTCCTATCTCCCTCCCTCTCTCTCCCTTCTTCTCGCCCCCTCCCCCTTTTGCAACGAATAATTCGAATAATTCGTGCGTCGACCGAACCGACCGCGCGATCAACCGATTTTGAAAGGGATGAATGGCGAGGGGGGACGACGTGTTCTCGCGAGCTTGGAGGGAGGGAAGGAGAGAGGGAGGAATCGAGATGCGTACAGGTTTTAGAGAAATTGTATTTGCCGGTATTTGATCGTGCGGAATTTGTGATCACGTTACACCGGCAGAGTAAGTTGGTTGTCCGATTTTTCTTTTCTTTCCTTTTTCTCGAGAAGAGGGAGAGGTTTCTTTTCTTTCTCCGGGTGGAAAAAAGAAGCTGCTTTTTTTTTTGCACGGTCGCACGTTCGGTTTCACTAATTGCATTCGCGAGACGTGGAAAGTGAATGTGTAGCAGTCTCGGTTTTCGATAATGAGGAACGTGATACTTGCGTTTGCGACGTGGATTATTTTTCTTGAAATATTTCCTCCCTTTTTTTTAGATTGTACGAATTCTTTAGAAAAAAAATATCAATATAGTTCCATACGTTGATATCCTGAATCTTCTTGTTATCACTCGTTCATCAGCATTAAAATTCAAACGTTTCTCAAAACAATGATTTCTTCTTAATCACTATTGCTATCCATAAAAATTTGCATAAAACCCCCAAACTTCGATTTTTACCACATAAAACACATCTCCTAAAACACATCTCATCTCTCGACAAATTAAGGATGAAAACGTAACCTACGTAAATTACTAGAAAAAAAAAAAAAAAAAAAAAAAGAAACACCTAAACTCGAGGAAACCTCGGCTAACCCCTTCCCTTCCCTTCCCCTTCCCCCTCCCAAAAAAAGAAAATTTTTGCCACCACTCACCGAGTCTTTTGGATATCTCTGAATTATGCATCTTGGGATTCTCCTGGGCGATCTTCCGCCGCTGGAGCCGGGACCAGACCATGAACGCGTTCATCGGCCTCTTGATGTGCTCCACCTGCGCCTTCTTCGGGCTCGGGCCAAGAGGGCTGCCGAGGCCAACCCCCATGGGGCCGACCCCCGCGCCACCGGGTGGTGACGTACCCGGCATACCCTGCATACCGCGCAGGGTCTCGGTGAACGAGCCGTCGCACATGTTGCCGCCGGCTCTGTAATTAAACGCAGCCACCAATTAGTAAGCCCAGCGGCCACGTTAATAGGGGAGGGGGGACACGCCCACGTGAAAACAACCACCGACGACGAGGACGACGACGACGACGACGACGTCCGACTGACCGACGTCCGGATCCCCTCTCGGCCAACTCCTCGAGAGTTAGGAGATAGGAGAGGAGGCCGAGGCTCTCTATTGTCTCGGGGCACGGACCGACGGAGACCCTGGGCTTGGGTATGCATTGTGATTTACGATCTTCGCGATGTTATTTTGGTTATTTAGTCACCGGCTCGGGTAGTTTAAGGGATGTCCTTGGCGTGAATGACGGTTTCTGAAACGGTGACGTTCCGTTTCCCGAGGTTGAGGTGACGAAACACGGGAAAGTTTGTCTCTGGCAGTAATTTGAAGGTTTTGTTGGGCATTTAGTCGCCCAATCGGGTAGTTTGAGTATCCTTCGAGTGGTAATTTTTGTATAATTGGCCGAGGAAGGGAGCCATGAGATTGGGCGACGAAATACGAGAAAGTTTGTCTGGAGAGTAATTCGAAAGTTTGTTTTTTTTTTTTTTTTTTTTCTTTTTTGGATATTCGATCGTCGATTGGACGATTCACATTTTTGCAGATGTTTCGTTCGAAGGGTTGGGTAATAAAATTATGTTATATACAAATTAGAATTTGTATAGAATTATATATCGAATGGTTTAATCTTTAATTTAATCTCTGTCTTGCAAAGATTTCGAAAGAAGTTAGAAAGTGGACTGGAATTAGAATTTTTGATTTTTGAAAAATTTTCTGCAAAACAATGTCTATATATGTCTATATATAATGGAAAACATTCCAAAAGTTTCTATGGAGAAGTTAACGACAGATTTGAAAATGTAAATTTTGATTGAAATTGTTTGAACAATATTTTACACCGCGTAATTTAATACGATGAATACATATTACATCAGTCATGCAATTTACCATCCCCGTACATACGTTTTTCGTAACCCGTTGATGCGTAAATTTCGAATCGTGCGAGCTATTCGGCAAAATTAGTACCGTCGCGAGGGCAACAAACAATCTTTCGAACGGCTCACCGGCAATTTTCTCTTTACCGAAACGTGACTAAAAGAGTCACGAGAATCAAAACGTTGCGGCCTGTCAGAAGGAGATTAAAATCATTAAGAAACTGCTGAATAACCATCCAAATTGACAGACTCGTTACATCAATCACACGTTTCATTCATCCCAAAGCAACAAGTTATTTGACCAAACTCGCGAACATCCACCTTTCACGACCGAGCCGCGGAACACAACTCGTCCAAAAAGAAACAAATTTACGAAAAGTAAAAAAAAAAAAAAAATAAATAAATAAATAAATAAATAAAAAATAAAAAAATTACGGCAGAGAACTAATAAATACTTCAATTATCGGTATTATATTCACCACAATATATATCATTCCGTCACGAGCACGTATCGTCGTTAAAAAACGAAACGTTGACACCTATAATTAACCGGATACCACTCTCTAAAATCCTTCGTCTATAAATCCCGTCAAAAGCGAATTTCCACCGGTCACCGCTATAATAGGTACTCACCATGCAATAATCCACGCGTGCACATACACATACACACACATGCGCGCGCGCGCGCGTGCACATACACAAAATTCGTACACAGAAAGGAATTCCAACGGTATATTCGGTGGCTTTTAATTGTGCGCCAGCGACACGCAGAAGAACCGAGCGAGGGCACTCGTGCAGCCACTCCTCACGGTCCCGGTAATTGCTTATTCGTTTGCTCTTTGATTCATAAGCAAATTAATCTTATCCTTTTCTCGTATCAAAGCCATTAACCAATCTCGCCACGTTCCTCCTTCCTCTCTCTCTCTCTCTTTCTCCTCGTCTTTTTACCCTAAATGTCACCCTTCGTTCAGGGGTGTTCTCCCTTTTCTCTCTCTCTCTCTCTTTCTCTTTCCTTCCGCAACCGACGACGAGGAGGAGGATGTAATACTCGTGCTCCTTCCCTCCGAACTAACACAATTACGCGGATCTCCTTGAGCACTCATTAAGAAAAAAAAAAAAAAAGAAAGAAAAAGAAAAAAAACCTGTAGTGGTCGAGGGAGTTAACCCCAGGGGCGGTAGTTACGATTTTGTAGGGTTAGAATCACCCTCGGCCCTGCGGGGCCACCCTCGAGTGTCATTCAGCCCGGATTAATAGATACGTTGGTTAGAGAGATGCGAGGAAGGGAGGGCGGGGGTGGAATGGAGCAGCGTGGCTGCTCCAGAGAGGCCCCAAGGGTGCTCGGGGGTGGTTCACCGAGGAGAAAGAGAGAGAGAGGAGAAGATGCTGGAAGTAATGGCTGTTGACAAGCTGCGACGGGGGATTAGGAAGTGCTAATTGAATGTTTAGGCAACGGTCGACGATAGTGTGCACGCGGCGATTTATTGCTCTTAAGATATGGTTTGACGATGTTTGCGCGGAACGGCACAAAGTGCACACGCGGAGCGTTGGGGTTAAAAAGTGAGCGAAAATTGGCGTGGAAAAGGCGATTTGCATCGTGATGGAACGATGGCGAGGAAATGGTTTGAGAAGGTTTGAAAGAGACGCGACAACCGTCGGATGTTTGTACACACGGATTTGTAAGGTTGCGTGCCCACGTATGAACAATTCTTGGTATTGTGATTGAAAAACAAATTGCCGGATTAGATTGGCTTTTGTTTTCGATTAATCATAGCGACGATTGTGTTTATATTGTTATTCGAAAATGGATCAAGTGTGTCGATGTATAAACACAATATATAAACGACGTATAAGGAATTTTTAAAAATTCATCAATTTTCTTATTGAGAAGATAATTCAATTTGTTCTTTTTGTTTTTTATTATTAAAATTTCTCCCCTCTCGTTCACTTCATTATCACAAGCTTAATTCGATTTTTTCGAACAAAAGAAATTTCAATTATCCGTTTATTCTTTCCTTTAAAAATTCCTTATTACATACGTTACTTTTCAACGATCTACAAACACCTCGATCGATTTTAAAAGATTCTCCATTTACCACAAAATTCGAATTTAAAGAAGCTTCAAACACGGTTCCACAAGCGTTCAAATATCCTCGAGCATTCTCACCAAATCTCACCAGCAAACAGTACATACAGACTCACCTCATAAAGTGGCCGGCGGCTCGTTGGTGCAAGTCCAGCTCAATTTTGGTGCCGTGGTTGAGACTCTCGTCTCGTCTTCCTCCACAAAGAATAATTAACTCTGAAGAACCTAAGAGAAGACCGGATGCGTCGAACAGAAACAAACAACAATCAGCAAGTCACTGCACTGTCATAGCCGTCCACTAGAGTCTTTTCTTAGTTATTCACTGTACTCCACCCCAAATTCACTTCCCTCCTCCCTGTTTTATCGGACAACCGAGTCGAGACACTGAGCACAGTCCAACGGCATCGTTTCGCGTATTTCGTATAAACGGCGTCGTTCCAATTCCTCGACTGATCGAAATTTGCGAAACCGGAGGGGGGAGGGGGCCACGCAAGCGACTGGCCGCGCTCGAGAGCGACGCACGAGGACCAACACGGTGTGCACGGCGCTCAATGTGCCTCCACGGACGATAGTTTTGGGAGTGTGCACGCACGACCCGAAGCCTGCTGCCGATCCACGGACTCCGCGCGCCAGCCTTCCCCCACCACCGGGATTCAAATAGGAGAAGAGCGACCGAGCCAATCCAACGGTGCCGGGGGCGGGGCCAATGGGATATTCGCGGTACCGTTGAGCATTTCGATTGGCAGGAATCGCGAGGCCGTCGATAACGAACCGTCCTGCGTTCATCGGTCTCCCCTCCATCGGACATCTCGCGCTCCTCTTCCGCGATTTAAATTTTCTGTCCTCGTTCGCCTCGGTCGCTCACCCTCCCGCGTTCTCCTTGTTTCGCCTTTCTTTCCTGGAACTCCGGCAACCGCCACGCGAATTTCTTCTGGGGACCGGTGGTCACCGGTGTCTATTTCTGCAAACATTTTTGACTAGTGGGGTATGAGGGTAAAGTTTCTTTCTTCTTTTTTTTTTTTTCCTTTTTTTCTTTTTTCTTCGTTAGGTGAAAAAGTTTGGAGTACAAAGTTTTAAGTAGATCTCGATATTATCGTTAAGTTATATCATCTGTGATGGACGATTGATTGTATACAGGGGAATATATCGAAATTTCTTTCACTTTAAATATTATCGTTATCGTTAAAAAATAACAGACGTGTATTTCGCATCGAATTTCTCGGCAATATAATCTCTGGTCCCCGATGATAATTGGAGTTCATCCATGGTTTACATCCACTTAACACACCGTCGCGTTTTTTGGGGGTGGGTCAAACCCTCGCAAGAAACGGAGACGGAAAACGCGTTTCGATGAAGGAGAAAGAGAGAGAGAGAGAGGGATGAGGGGGTGGGCGAGTTAGAGAGCATGGAGCCAGGTAGAGAGCAGCTACTGCCGCCACCTCCACGGCCACCGACCACGGGTACCAACCGAGCCAGCCCATGCGTGGTGGGGACGTGGTGAAGGGAAGGTGGGACGATTTCGAGATGGTGGCCGTTGGTATTGCCGAGTCGAATTCGAAAGAACGGTGCTAAGAATGGAAATAAGAAGGCGAGTTCTCTCTTCGATACCTCGCTCGCTCCTCTCCCTCTCGCTCTCGACGACACCCAGCCCCCTCGCTACCCTCCCCTTAACCTCGCCTCGATCTCACAGCCTCTGGTCCCTCTTTCCACGTTGCGCTGTGTTTCTCTCGCTTCCATCCGAGACGAGGACATTGTGCTTCGATCTACGAGGCGGCCCACTCTCCTACAAAATGGTAGCTCGACGTTTTTGCTCTTTTAACCGGTCGGGTAGCGGGGGGGCCTCCGCACCCCCGGTGTCGATAGGTGTGCCACGAGTCGATATAGTTTGGGGAAACTCGAGTATTTAGGCGCGTGTAACGATAAATTGGATCGTGGCGGCTTTTAAGATGATTGTTTAACAATTTTTTTCCTCGTTCACGGGAGGAAGATTGTATAAAATAACAGTTTAAACGATCAATTCTTTTTCTACGGAAAGGATATATAAAATCTCTGACGTTCAAAGGGCTGTAATTCATGGATGGCACATGTTGGAATCAATTCGAGAATCTTGAACGAGTGGGGAGTGATCAACCGATTCCATCGTTTTCCTAACGGACGAAGTGGCGTCGATTACAAAAGAATTTATGGACACCGGCTTTTCTCTCCGCAGATGCTCGATTCCACCCTCTCTCGCGTCCATCGATCGCCTCTTGTTTATTCCCAAGTGGGGGCGTGATGGGGCGAGAGGGAGGGCGCGTTTTGGCAACCCTTTGCTAATCCCATAACTTCATCGACATTGTGACTCGCGATGATCCGAATGATCACTCGAAGATGAATCGAACGAGAATCGGAGAATCTTCGAATCGGCGTTGGACCTGTCGTTTCGTTCGGGCAAGCGTGCTCGTTTTCGATCTTCGACCGCGTGTGTTGAAACATAACTCGTAATTTCCGTGGAAAATTGTCGAATACCTGTGTTGGAAACGACTTTAGCGAGACGGCCATTGATTCGTTTGTAGGACGGATGCAATTGCGCTCCTGGTGGACGTCGCTTTTCTTCTTTAGAAATTAACGAGTCACGTAAAGAAAGATTGTGCGGATTGTTTTGTAACGTTCTTAGAACGATTTCACTTTTAACTCGACTATTGCATTCATGAATAATGATTGTGTGGATATCTTCAAAAAAAAAAAAAAAAAAAAAGGAAAGAAAGAAAGGAAAAAAAAACACGATGGAGAATTCATACGATGTAAAGTTTAACGCAAAAAAAAAAGAAAAAAAGAAAAAAGTTACGCATACATAGAGCAACATTTATTACTTAACAGTGACATAAAGAGCGTATTTACTTATATATTTGAGAATATAAATTTATTATATCTCTTCTGCATGTTATTCAAATTTTGCGTAAACATCTCTCTACAATATCTTAATTACCATATTCTTTCTTTCCAAAAAGAATTTCGAAAACGAAAGTCTCGAAAATTCAATTTCATCGAGAACAATAAAAACTATTACTTTGCAAAAAAATTTTATTTTACCTTCTCCGAAAATTGCAAATCGATAATCTGAAAAAAAAAAAAAAAGAAAAACGAAGACGACGACGACGATGACGATTCTCCGACTGTTTATCACGAGCAAGATTTATTTCCCCTCGAGCACGTGCTGACTCCCTGTGCACGGACCAGGGTCGCGACAGATATTGTTGTACGCGTCGTTGGAACATGTAACGTATGAATATCTAATGCACCCTATCCACAATTAAATTCGGACAATATGTTTTGTTTCGGGAGGGGCGAACCACCCTCGAGGAAGCTCGAGAGGGGTTCGGTGAATCAGGGTCCTTTCCCTTCGGGGATCCTCCATCGTTGAATAACAGCCCCAAGTGTAAATCTCACGCTGTACACGCCGATACGACGAGTGCACGATAATAACTTTTCGTGCAAATCGCGCCAGACCGCAGCCTCTCCAAATTCTCCGTTCGCTTCGCCTCGTTTGAAATTCCAACGTGCTGGGAGATTATCGACGAGAATAATCGCCTTTTATCAATGATTTTTTTTTTTTAGGTAACGTTAGAAAGAAAGAGAAAGTTTTGAGAGTTTTTTTTTTTATATAAAAAGACAACAAAAATGTAAAAAGTGTATTGAGAATTTCTAAATTTTAGATTCTACGCGTGTGAGACGATATCGAGATGAATAAAGGGAAATTGAAAATGGATTTGAATCTAAAAGAAATATTTTGATACAGCAGTAGATCGAATATGAAATTAGCTAGTGGGATAAATACGAAACCCGATTCAAAGTACCGTTAACGTTGCAGCGAATGATACAGGAAGTAGCATTCAAAGTGAAACCTGTTACTCTAATCGCAACCTGTTCAACTCTGACTAATATATATATATATCCTCCGGTCTCTCCGATTTATAATCGAAAACCTTTCGATTTCCTGTTAAAAACTGATCAAAAATTCTCTCCACGAGAGCATAATTCATCCGAGGAAACTTTCTCTTCCGTGGCAGCGATTCCAACCTCGCCAATGATTTATTAAAAACAGAGACGAAAAACGCGGTCAAAGAATACAAAATCCTTATTCTTCGGACAACAATGTGCCACCAGTCGAAAAGTATCGTCTCCCCAAACAGGCATTGTGGTCATCGTCCATTGGTGATCCATCGATCCCTGGAAACCGTATCCCATCACCTGTCCTGTAGAAAAAGTGCCTCTAAGGTGGAAACAACCGTGTTATCCTATTCCATTGTCTCCCCTTCAGTTTTGCGGCGATGAGTCGAATCGTAAACGAGATCCTGCTGAGGGACAAAAGACGGCCACCAGTCCTTGTATCGGGCAGGATCCCTTTCAGCGAGGAGGCGATGTTTAACGAAGTTTTGAAGAAACTTTATTATGAATTCTACCTCTGTCAAAGGAGATAGAATCGAGAAAGGGAGGGGGGACGGCTAATCGGAAGGAACCACCCGAGGAAGAGATCTCTTCCTTGCGGCTGATCCTGCGTCTCTCGAAAATCGATGGATCGCTTCCTCTTCGAGCCTCTTGGCTTTCGAGGCTATTGTCTTCCTTTTTGGCGAAGGAGCAGGTGTCGCGAGAGACGGGGAGAATGGCGACAATGGACGGCCACCGGTAAAACTTAGCTCGTTCAAAAGGCTGGGAGGAATTGTCGACGCGCAGCGGGTGTCGTCCTTTCTCGGCCGTATTGCTACACCTCCTTGGTGGCTTCCTTGTTTCCGCCTTTTCCTGCTCCTCCTCGACCGAACAACGCTGTTTGTAACAATTTAATAAAAATGAGCGGCTTTCCGAAGAATGGCCGCTGCTTTTTCGACCAAATCTTTGCCTTGGAGGAGGGAGATGGTCGAACTCTTCGAGGAATCTTCCAAGCATCGGGTTGAGAATGCTGGTATTAGAGTTTTAGGAAGATCGAGGATCATTAGCCGCAAGATTATTAGATTTCCTCTTCGCTCGAGAAATTTTCAATTTTTAATTTTCGTCTATTATTATTAATCTTCCCTAATTAATTAACAACTGAAATGATCGAAACGTTGACGCGTCACGAAATCTCAAACTCGATCCCCCAAAATTCTCCACGTCATCGAGATTGACGCGAGGGCACCCGCGCCATATTGTTCGCCGAAAGTCACCTCCCCCCCGATTCAGGCCACCATCCTGATGATCGGCTCGCTCGTGGCCTGTGGTGTTCCCAAATAATTAATAACAACCGAGCGACAAATCCCGGAAGCGGCGGCGTGTACGCATCGGGCGGGGAACAAAGGGGAAACAGGAGGGCTAATGGCCGGCTAATGCTCGCGCTAAGCCCTTTAAAAGCGTCCGACAGCGGGACCAGGATCCATTTAGGATCGTTCCGTGCCACCTTTGCCTACTTACATGCGAATTTGCACCTACAAAAGGGCCTCGATCCGATCCCTCCCCCCTCCCCGCCCGGGGTAGCGGAGGGACGTCCGTGTGTTTTTCTCGCCCGAGAACGAGAGGAGGGAGAGGCGTCGTTAAAACTG